CCCCATCTCTCTGTCCCAGGTGTACGTAGGCTGTTGTAATATCATTCTTTAGATGGAAATGTATATGTCTTGCAGGCTTCAGTCCCTGCTCCTCTATCTCACCCTCCCAGCAGGCCGACTGAAATCCCCTCTTCCACATCCTCCCTCTTTCCCTCCCTGTATTCTATCCTTCCCGCTCTCCGTGCGATAATATAAATGATAATAGCAACTCTATCAACCTGCCCAGCTGGTGAAGCATACTGGGTAATGTGTACAACCATTTGTTTGTTTATTTCAGAATATTTTTTCTTTATTTATTTCTTGGTAGCGGGTTGTAAGTGTGTGTGTGTGTGTGTGTGTGTGTGTAATGTGCTGTGTAAATATGCAGCTTTTTGGGCGGATAATGTTGTGGACAAGACATCCCAGACATCAGTCTGCATATACACTGATTATTATTTCTGATAGTTTGAATATTTAATTATTTCTGATATTTTGATTTAGCCATATTGTAATAATTTTGTCTTTTTAGGATTATCTACAGCCTTGTCAATGCATAATGTATCCTGTCTTTCTCCCTCACTCTTTAGCAAATGGCTGCAATATAACAAAGAGTGAAAAATTTAAGGGGGTCTGAATACTTTCCGTGCCCACTGTATATATGTGTTGATTAAAGTATGGTTTAGTATATTCAACAATTTTTTAATTGTTGAACATATTTCATTCAGTGTTCACTTTTGTGCTGCGTTGATGAAGAATTTTACTCCTCATCCTCATAGAGCCCTGCAATGGATGTGTGTAAACAGTGTAATACACACACACTTTCACCTTAACTGCAAGGTTAACTCCAACCTGGAGGCATCTCATGCTCTGCGAGACTGCAGTGATATAGCAGTGGTAAATGTGTGTATGTTTGTGTGTTATCATGCATGACTTGACTATTTGGTCTCGTTCTCCACTGCCATTGCTGAGGGCAAGATCACATTTCACCCCACCACAGAGTATTGCAACCCTGCATCTCTTCCTTTTTTCTCGCTGTATTTCTCTCACTTGCTAAAGTCAGCAGTGTATCGCTGCCAGTTGTCAGAAAACATTGCTGTAATGGCTGTAATGAAAGAAAACACTCAGAATCTTTTTCTTTGTTATTTGCGCCCAATCTACTCTTTTTCACGCACATCAGTCCTTTAAGTGGATGTACTGTAAGTATTTAACAAAAGCACGATTAGCTGGATGTAGTCGCTGCAGTGGCGCGAGCCAAAGACTGCAGAGCCAATATAAGGAATTCTCCAGACAATAATGAGACGACTGAGGATGAGAAAGAGACTTGCACACTTATTCACAGGAAGATGTCCTGAGGGAGTGACGTGTGCCTGCCTGCACGCTCTGATAGTGCACTGCTCCGTGCCAAACGGAGTCTCCAAAACACCCCTGCTGAAAGAATCTGTGTCTCTGCCATTGGAAAAAAAAGCCATGTTGGCTCTGCCTATAGGGCAATACCAAGTGCTCAAGAAATCCGGTGCTTCCTTACTCTTGTGACCACTAGCATGCTAAAAAAATTATAATTTTCTTTATCAGAATATTAAATATCAAAGTAATACTTGATTTCCATTAGCAAATCAATGTTATTTTAGTGTTATGTAATATTATAGTCTTTATTAATATTTTGAATTGGCTTTCATTTTTTAAATTTCCAGTTTTCATTTTAATTAAAAACATATATAATTTAATAAATTAAAAAAATAATTAATTAGTCAAATAAATAAATTAGCTTTTTAAATATTTCTGTTTATCTTTAATTTATTTTTATTTCACAACCAACAATTTTGCTTTTACCTAAGTGCAAAGGAAAAAATAATAATCACTTATGTTATATATTTAATTATATGTATTTAATAATTTTGTGTATTTAGGATACATAAAATTCTAGTTTTTAAAAGCATAAGTCTTAGCAAAGCAAAGGAATCAGCTAAATTAATCCAGAAATGTTTAAAATGTAATTTCCATAAACATTTTATATATATTTTTAGTACTTCAATTTAAATGTGATAGCTAGTTGCCAAGGCAATGTTTTATTTAATATTTATATTTTATTTCTGCTTTATTTCAGTTAGCAAAAACAACGTTTAATAGACTTTAAGTTTATTAAAGATAATTTACTTTAATAGTTTATTTACTAGAAGTTTTAGTTAAGAGTAACAACACTGTGGGAAATGAAAATCAGTGTTTAAAATGTTATGTGCATGTTTACCTAATAGAGTGTTTGTGTGTGCTGTGAATGCCTATTTATGAGTGTTTATGTATGTGTTTGAAAGGTTCACATGTAGTATAACACCCTAACCTGTCTTACAGAGCTGATTCAGAACTTTGTAACCTTCAGTTTGGCCCCTGCAGTGATGAAGTTACACTCAAAGCAATTCATCTCCGTTCTCATTTCCTCCCACTTGGATGGGGTCAGGCTGCCAGTAATCAGTGTTTGCAAGTGCATTTTTTCAGAGTTGGAGTGGGAGGCAGAGCAGCAGTTTAGAGCTCTTTATACATTATTCATTGTGACACATAAGAAACAACAGCTTGGAGTAGAATTGGAAAGAAGCTTCTCTTACACCCAGTACAACCCACGAACTGTGATGTTGTACCTCTCATCCCTCTTTAGATTATAAATCCATTTATTCGCTTGTTTTTCCCCCACACATAACTGTTCTACAGGATTTGTCCAAATGTACATCAGTTTTTACACAAACTTGGGAAGTTCATGCAGTTCAAGTTGTACGGCCATTAAAGCAGGGTTCCCAGCGTCCTGGAAAACAAGGATAATCAGACAATGTAAAAAGTGGGATTTCTGTTCCTATATACATTTCTATATACATATAATATTTTATTTTATTAATGTTACAGTTTGGCTATAAAATACTGTGGCTAAGTACTGGTGAGACATTTTTTAAATTCCTAATCTAGTCATCTTAGACTTGAAGAGTCAAAGAAATTCATTGATCATAATCCTTTGGAATCCTGTTTAAAAAAAACATACAAAATACTAAATTGAGAAATTGTAACTAAAGTTTTTCACTCATTGTGATGCTGATATTATAATTAGTAGTGATTTTATTATTATTATTATTATTTAAAGTAAACAAAGTAAATATAATTAATAATTATTCTTAAATATATTTTTAATTAACCACGCTATTGTGCATGCAAATAATTAGCACATAATTAGTAAACAATTAGTGATTTCCTTTCCTAAAGCTGCAGTATTGAGTGTCCTCCATTCATATTTTCTGTGACTACTCAGGCTCTGCCGTGGCCTGTGTGTTACCACATACATATTGAACTGTGCTAGCTATGTGTGTAATGCGAGTTCATGTTTGGTTTTTGTCATTTCCTTCCATTCACCATCATTTCCTGTCTTCTCTATACTACACCTGTCAATAAACTGGCATAAAGGCCAAAAATAGAATGAAGAAGAGGTCATGTATCTGGTCAGGATTGAATCGCCTGTACACAGTGTAGTCATAAAGCTGTCAGCCGAAGGATTTTTCCTAAGATATCTTAGTTTTATTTCATGTCAGTGTCTCATGGGATGTCTGGAGTAGCAGGAAATGGAAAAGCAGGCCGAAAGAACAGTCTGAATGACAATAACTCTCATGCCTTTGTTTTAAAAGCTTCAGACACATGAAGAGGACAGATTCTGTCTTTGATCAGCGCCCCAAATTACACTTTAATTATGAATCGTGGTATACATGAAGATGTGACGGAAACTGCGTGGTTGTGTTTTTGTTAGCATGTGCCACTCTATGTGAAGAAAGAACAGCAAGCATTAGGGGAAAAATAAGGTTTGTTTGGTTGTTGGTTGATGGATGAGAGATTGAAAGTTTACATCTTATTTGTCCATTGCTTGCTTCTGATGTGATGGAGCTGTCAGTCTTCAGTGGGGGATTTTGAGTGGCAGCTCTCAGCTGTTCTGTCATCGTTAATCATCTCTTAATCAGAACGGCAGTGGAAGAGGGGCAGGAGACGCAATCCAGCTCAGTCTGTTACATTCACACAGTATGTATTTTGAACACAACAGGAAATAGTCTCCCAGTTTAGACGAGGATAACAGACGCATCTGAATATGCCTACTTCTCTACTATATAGTAAGCGAAATGAGTAGTAGTATGTCCAAATTTGCTAAAACTGTAGCCAAAAAGTACCCAGATGACCTACTACTTATGGCGAGATTGTATTGTGTATAAAAAGGATACTTTACTATCCCATTACGCTATGAAGAGGATTCATAAATGGTGGGTGTGTGATGCTCAAGTTGTAAGTCACATAACAGTACCAACATGGTGGGTGTATTATGTCCGGATTACATTCATACTACACAAATTTATAAATAGAACATTTATTTAACATTAAGAACATTATTTATTCGCAAAATAAATACTTTTTCAAATGTGGTACCTGCTCAGAAAGTATGTGATTTTTGGACTTTTTTCATATTTAGCTAGCTGTCTTGAGAGTACCATTGTTTTGTAATGTATGTTATATTTAATTCCATGGGCCTCTGTTTTTGATATGTATCTTTTTTTATCATTAATATATATTAATCCTTATTGTACCCCTTTTACTAGATTAGTTCAAATAAAAATTAATTAATTAATTAATTAATATTGCCATTGGAATTAGGAAAGTGTTGTAAACTTAATTCTAAATATATTTTCTAGAAAAAAAAATCTTAATATTTCATGCTTCACTTTTCAAGTAAGTGTGTCTTGTTTTAAGGATATTTAGATATTTAGAATACTGTTCCTAAAGTGTTGAATGTGTGCTGGTTGTATCTTGGAGTTTGTCTAACCAGCATTGAACACAAAATGGTTGGATTTGACATTATTCTGACAGCAGGAGAGCGTCTTAATCAAATCTTTATCAGCATGTTCAGACATCATCATCATCACCAATCTGTTACACACTCAGGCAGAAGAACTTCAGCTCACAGTTTTCTTTGAATTATTTACAGTTTTCTTTCTGTCTTGTCTCTTTAGCGCCTTCCCAGGTTAACGAGCTGCGAGCGGAGAAGGTTGAGCAGCGCAGTGTGACTCTGGCTTGGAGGGAACCCGTCGTGTATCCCAACAGCAGCCGCACTGAATATGAGATTAAATACTATGAAAAGGTACGGTTACATGCTCTGTCCTCTCCACAAAGCATTGAATCTGTGTACAGCCACACTTAATGGCAGGTTCCCACAGGCCTGTAGCTCATTGATCATTCTGTCAGGTGCAGTAGTGCTTTAAAACATGTAGCTGCCAGACATTGATGTTTGTTCAAACTTCTGCCAGCACTGAGAAAAAAAAATAATACACAATAATGCATTTCTTATGAACACAGTGTGTTCACATTCAAAATCTTACACAGATTATAGTTCGTAAGCAGATAACATGTAATGCAAACCACTTAAATGTTATTTTGTTGTTGTTTTTAATCAGAGAAAGGGAAATCAGGGAAAATCAATCCAAATATTTCTGCCTATGTAACGGCTGATGTCAAGAATAGAGAAAATCTTGTTCATTTTAAGATCTCATGTAAATGTAGGGTGTCTTTTTTTTCTTCTTCATTTTTTCGATTTTCAAGTTAACCCTTAAAGCAAGTTTTTATAATGTTAACTTTTGATAGTTTGTTTTGTTGTGCATATAAGCATGTTTCATTTCCTACGGGCTCACAGACATTGATTTTTATTAAGACCAGGGATTTTTTTTAATGAAGCTTTAAAATTGTAATTTTAGCATGCTTTCATAATTTACTTTTGATACTTATCAAATAGTTTTTATCTATAGATTTGATTGTTTTACTTGTTTTTTTTTTCTAAATAAAGAGTGAAATAATCACAAACCATTTCAGTGTTTATTTTGGGGAAATTATTTATATTTATATAAATATTAATATTTTCCCTCAGTTGTAGTGTGAATTAAGGTAAAAAAAATAAATAATAATAATTAAAGGTACACTACTGTTCAAAAGTTTGGGGTCAATGCATAAAGACATTTGTAATGCTACAAAACATTTCTGTTTTAAATAAATGCTGTTCTTTTGAACTTTATATTCATCAAAGAATCTTTTAAAAATGCGTCATGTTTTCCACACACACACACAAAAATACATTAAGCAGCAAAAAAAAAAATTCACCATTGGTAATAATAAGAAATGTTTCTTGAGCAGCAAATCAACATATTAGAATCATTTCTGAAGGATCGTGTGACACTGAAGACAAAAGATAAAGACAGCATTATTCCAGACATATTTAAAATATTATTTCCATCACTGTCATTTACTTCCATAGACTCATTGGTGGTTGTTTTATGGACATATTTCTGTGTTCCTTCAGGACCAGAAATATCAGAGCTATTCCACAGTAAAGACGGCCGCCACCAGAATTAGCGTCAACAATCTGAAACCAGGCACCACCTACGTCTTCCTCATCCGCACCTGCTCCAGCCCAGCACTTTCATCTCTTTCCTCCTCTCCTCTTTCTTCTTCTTCTTCCTCCTCCTCCTCCTCCTCCTCTTTGTCTCAATCTTCGCCGTCTGCTTCCTCTTCCTCTTCCAGCCCTGTGGCAGCTGTGTCGCCTCCTACGCTTGACTACGGGGCGTACAGCGCACCGCTGGAGCTGCAGACGCTGGTGGAACGTGAGTGTCTCTCTTTGTTTTAGAAGAAAGAATGAATGTGTGGTGTAAAATTGTTGTGAACTACCTTTTTTTTATTAATTTCATGTTAGTACACAAAACATGTTGGCTTTACAGTGAAACAATGACTTTAAAGTGCAAATGTTTGCTGTCATCTTTAATTTAAGAGGACACATTCATATTGAATGAACACTTTGGAAGGACTTTCACATGTGATCTCATCCTGCTCCTTCATTGTAGCACTCAAACAAGTATTTGAACAGCTTTAGATTATGCAGAACAAAGCTGCAATCTTTGGTGGCTGGTTGCAAACCGTTGGACTGAATGAGTCTCATTCCAGATCCTGTCGAGTATCGCTCCACTAGCTTTTGCTCCTAACAGCTTGGGGGTTTTCTCAAATGTGAAATGCTCCGCTAGGTTCAAAATGGTTGATTAAATCAGATAGTAGAGAATTTTTCACTTCTGAGCATTCAAAAAAAATTTAATTTAATAAATTTAAAATTTAATCATTTTGACACTTAAAGGTGTAGCATGTTTGTTTTTCTGAGGGGACCTCGTAGTAAAATTTAAATGTAAAATTATATTTACTAATGAAAGTTATATTATATATTATATTATATTATATTATATTATATTACCCTTCATTGTGACTTCAAAGTGTTATAATTAGGACTGTTAATATTACAATATTTTATTGTGAATTTAAATATTTTTAGTACTCATATTTTTCGTAGTATGTTAACATATTCAAGAAAGACTGAAAAATGGGCCTTTGTGATTGATATTTATAGCATAAATTTAAATAAAGATAAATATGAATTTTTGTGTATGTTATATACAATACTGTTCAAAAGATTTTTTTAAAGAAATTAATCATTTTTATTCAGCAAGGATACAATAAATATATTAAAAATGACAGTAAAGACATTTACATGGTTACACAATATTTTAGTTTCAAATAAATGCTGTTCTTTTGGTTCATCAAAGAATCCTGAAAAAATGACAAATGTAGTATCACAGGTACCATGAAAATTTTAAGCAGCACATTTTTAACATGGATAATAATAAGAAATTGTTCTTAAAGGGGTCATATGATGCTTCTAAAAAGAACATTATTTTGTGTATTTGGTGTAGTGAAATGTGTTTATGCGGTTTAAAGATAAAAAACACATTATTTTCCACATACTGTACATTATTGTTTCTCCTCTATGCCCCGCCTTTTTGAAACGCATCGATTTTTACAAAGCTCATCGGTCTGAAAAAGCGAGGTGTGCTGTGATTAGCCAGCTATCCAATGCATTGTGATGGCCGGGCTAGAGTGAGCTGAGGCCGGGCTAGAGTGAGCTGAGGCCGGGCTAGAGTGAGCTGAGGCCGGGTTAGAGTGAGCTGAGGCCGGGCTAGAGTGAGCTTTCGCTTTCACAACGAAGCACACAGGGCCTTCACGACATGGCGGTGTTATGCAAATCTTCCCACATAGTGAGGTAGATATGTGGGGGCGTGTTTGAACGAGTCGTTTTAGGTAGTTGTGGCTAACTCTGAACTTTTATAAAGAATATCTCTTTGGATTTGAGACTTTAGTCTTTGCAACTTTACAGATCTTCTTTATGCACCAAGAGCTTGTAACACTCCAAAGAGAAAGGAAAAATTGCATCATATGACCCCTTTAAGCAGAAAATCACCATATTAGAATGATTTCTGAAGTATCATGTAACACTGAAGACTGGAGTAATAGTGCTGAAAATTCAGCTTTACATCACAGGAATATATTACATTATAAAATAGATTTAAACAGGAAAAAAAATATTTTAAAGTGTAATAATATTTCAAAATATTAATGTTGTACTATATTTTTGATCAAATGAATGCCTTCTTTTGTGAACATAAGTGACAAAAAATCCTACAGACCCTAAAAAGTACTGTAAATATAAATTATATTGCATATACATTTAAAGTGCTCCCATTCACAACAACAACAACAAATAAAAATAAGATTCAAAATGCAGAACAGAATAATTCAATAATACTCTAGTCTAAAGCAACTTTCTTCACGATTTATGGGCTTACAATAATCTTGTATGTGTAAAGATGGATTGTTGTCCTGATGTCCTCCGCTGGTGACAGTGTTTTGCTAGAGGGCTATATTTCACTTGTTGAGTTTCAATGATAATTACATTTCTCCAAAAAAAAAAAAAAAAAAGAGTGCAAATAAGTTTACCTTTATTCAATGTCCCATGTGGGTTTGAATTCTAAATAAATGACTCATAAAAAGGGTTTTTCTCCGTTATTTATTGATAATTGACTGCTTTGCTAGGGATCATCTTTCCTTTTGAAAGCCAAAGTGTTTTTTTTTTTTTGTAACTGAAAGTAGTTTCTCTGTGTCCAGATGGATGGATTGGGGCCATTTGGAGGAAAGTCGTAACTTTTTAACTCACAAAAATTTATTCCCATTAGGATGCTATCAAAATAAATAAGGAAAGACTTCAAAGATCAATCTTCTTGTCAAGCTCCAGTGCTTTTAGAGCACTGGTAATGGCTTGTGCCACCATGAATACTAACCAAATCTTTTGTTTGTCTTTGTGTGTGTTTGTTGTGCAGTGGCCCTGGCCTCTAGTGAACAGAGTCCTGTGGTGATCATCGTTGTGGTTTCGGTGGCTGCTCTCATCATGTTACTTACTCTTGGAGTTGGATTGCTCATCTGGAGAAGGTATAACTGCTATTCCAATGCTTTTTACAAAGACTAACTCCGTTAGTTATCAGTCATTATTTGGTGAAAATGATCCTTTGCATCTTCAAATCTGGCCTGTCAAACATCATTGGTTCATGACTGTCTCGTGACAGTTTTGTATTTGGCAGAACTATCCCTTTAACTGAAATAGGATATGGTTGCACATTCAGTTTCTGCTCCATAGTGCGTCTCCCTAATGGCGGCCTGACAGTTGCATCAGCGAAAGCCTTTTTCTACTTCCATGGTCTGCAAAATCATCCATTAGAATGAATCAAAACACATTTTTAGTCGAGTCCATCTCTCACATGCACAGATGCGCAAACTCATCCGTCATCCCACTGGAGGGCATGAAGCCTCATTCCTCTTTTTGAGAAGTGCAATGCCCTTGTTAGCTTGTTTTATGGGCAGCGCAATCGCTCAATCCAATTTCGCCATGATTGCAAGATGTGTACATATGTCTCGTGTGTGTTTGTAAAGGCTGCCTCTCCCAGCAGGGAGTGAAGGTGGAGAAATGTGAAGAAAGACATGCCAAGATTCTGCTCCTGTATTGTTTTTTAGACAGATCTCTCTCTCACTCATCACATAGCCAAAACCGTCCCACATGCACAGAAGTGCACCGGCGATGCACATGAGTGGATATATGCAATACAGGAGAATCAGCACTCGTGTGTGTGTGTTTCACAAGGTCATCAAGTTCTTCCACAGTGAGACATAAAAAAAACTGTACAGTTGTTGCTGTGGTGTAGTGGTTAGCATACATGTTGTGTTGCTCATGTGGATGGTGCAGATTTCAGACTTGTGAATTGTCCTGATTCAATTATCCTAAATATGGCAATGTTTTAGTGCCATATTTAAAAACAAACAAACAAAAAAAAAACTTTCCGTAAAAGTTTTGGCCGTAGAAAGTGTTTATGCCAAGCGAAATGTGAGAGGAATTTTATTCTCCTTGGCCACGACTTCAATCTTGAAATTCAAGTACTTTTATTCTTGTATTTTTGACCTTATTCTCATAATGTTGCTCCTTTAATTTTGTAATATTACGACTTTTCACTTCATTTTCAATTTAGTTCATTGTCGCAAGTGATTTAAAAAAAATAATAAAAAATTACTGCTTTCATCTCATAGTGGCTTTATTGCAATTTTGCCTTTTTCTAAATATTACCACTTTAATCTTGTAATGTTGTGACTGTATTGTCATAATTGACTTTACAAAATATTACTACTACTTAATGTTTTAACTGTAATTTACTAAATCCTTTAATGTTAGGAGTTTATCATCATAATTGACTTTCATCTCATAATTACTTTTGTTATTTTGACTTTATTTTTAATATATTTGTACTTCAATCTTGTGATGTTAAGATTGTCATAACTGACTTATCAAAATATTGCAATATAATATTATGAAATATCAAAAACTACTTTCATATTGTTTTTCAAAATATAAATCCTTTAATCTTGTAATTTTACCACTTAATTATCTAATCTTTGACCTTGTTTTCATAAAGGATTTATAGTATATGAAATTATTCTCAAAACATTATGACTTTATTCTCGTAATGCTATATCTCAGATTTTGTTAACATCGTAAACATTGTTGTAAACTTGTGAGACAGAATCTGCAATTTTTTTGCATTTTCTGATTTTTGAATTTAAACATGGTAAAATGTGTGTAGCTGAGAGCTGAGATTACTGCAATCTTATAGGTAGCTGAAAGCAAAATCATTTCACAAACATAAATGAAAGGAATGTAGGATGCATAACGGCTTGTGAATGATGGCTATTCCAATCTTGAGGAAATCTGTGGATATTTCTGCCGAGTTTTGCACTCACAGAATCCATGTGTCTGGGTATTTCATGCGCACACAAGAACAAAGGTGTGACATACTCTAATGGATCTCTGTGCAGCTGCGGTGTCAGGGGAGGGAGTGGCAGACAGGAAGCACATGCTCCTATAGCTCTCCATTAATCAGTCTGATGAGAATGGATTATATTGAGCCGGTGTGAAATGGTTCTCATTCATTCAACCACACACAATGGAGTGTCGCCGAGCCTCTGTCAATCACACATGCACAAAATCTCTTTCATATGCATCCACAAACTTTATCATCAGCTCAGACAACAACACACAATCCAGTTGCATGTCGTCTAACACACAGAAGAGAGCGGATTTATCGACCGGCTTGTGAATGATGGCTATTCCAATCTTGAGGAAATCTGTGGATATTTCTGCCGAGTTTTGCACTCACAGAATCCATGTGTCTGGGTATTTCATGCGCACACAAGAACACAGGTGTGACATACTCTAATGGATCTCTGTGCAGCTGCGGTGTCAGGGGAGGGAGTGGCAGACAGGAAGCACATGCTCCTATAGCTCTCCATTAATCAGTCTGATGAGAATGGATTATATTGAGCCGGTGTGAAATGGTTCTCATTCATTCAACCACACACAATGGAGTGTCGCCGAGCCTCTGTCAATCACACATGCACAAAATCTCTTTCATATGCATCCACAAACTTTATCATCAGCTCAGCTCAGACAACAACACACAATCCAGTTGCATGTCGTCTAACACACAGAAGAGAGCGGATTTATCGATTAGTCTCTGATAAAGTGGTTTATATTGATTAATGATGTGTGCGAGAAAGGCTTGTTAGAGACATAGGCATATATCAGGTGTGAAATTGTGTTGGACAAACAGAAAATGGCTGACGGCTCATTGAATTTAGGCACAAACCGTGCTTGTCCATAGTAGCATGTTATGTATAAGTGATAAATAAATGGTCAGTCTGCATAGAAATAAAACACACAATATATTGATTTCTAAAGACACTTTTTGTCATCTCATTGAGTGCTTCTGCCACAATAATGTTGCATTGTATGCCTATGTTATCTTCATTTGGGGGCTTAATTATGTGATTTAACGGTGGTTAATTCAGTTAATAATTGCCATCTGATGTAATTGATTTATTTGTTTAGCCCTAGTTTATACACATTTTGAACATCTAAATCTTTACAAATCAATCCATGCATATGAAAACAGTCTTTCAGATCTTTCAAGTTCTTTGATCAGTGTTTCTGTTAAATCAGATTGGTTTATACAGGGTTTGTTTTTGCAGATACATTTTGTCCCAAAAACCTTTGAATTCTGGGTCCTGTTTTTTCTCATTCTATTTCAGGGATGACATCTTTTATTATTAATAATACTAATTTACTGACATGCGTACACACACGGCCAGTGGATTATTGATATTTGTGGACAGCCTTTCTTCTGGTCCTTTATGTACATTTAATATACTTGCATCGCCTGAAGCCAGTGGACTGTGTATCTGTGCCTGTGTTTGAAATGAAATACTAGCATACTGCATACTGCCTTTAAAAAATTGTATGTGAAGGTCACAATAGAGTGCAACTGTCAGGTTCCAGAAGCAATAATCCCATTCAATTGATTTTAACAATTACTTCAACCATTAAAGACAGGCCTACTGAGAGTTACGAGGTTGTCATCAACCCACATTATTTCAACATAAGTTTAACATAAGTTTAACATCAGATCTCTTGGTGAAAACTACATTACCCATGATTCTGCAAAGCAATCTCAACAATCAGAGAATTACATCAAGCAAATCATGCCAAAAGAGCTCTTTTAGCGCCCTCCCACTCAGATGAAGCACAGAAAATGAGGTAATAAAGTCAGTCTCCCTACAATCTCAAACTACTTTTTGTATATATTTATATGCATATTTTGCAATAAACATAAAATACATTGTTTCTCTCTCATTATAATCAACATCTAAATCAAATTATGAAATAGAATACTAATCAAAATGAGCATTAGTTTTATTTTTCTCTATCATTTTTAATATTTGTGTCATTCACAGTGCTTCATAGGATTGTAGTTTTGTACCTTTGTCTTTTTTGTCTGATTTTGCTCTTATGCAACAAAGAACATTTCAAGTTATGGTCTGTTCATTGTGTAATCCCGTTTTTATCATCATAGAAATATACATGGTTATTTATTTCGTTTACTCGCCCTGAGGGTGAAAAAATGATAATAGAATGTTAATGTTTAAGTAAAGTATTACTATAATTCCTTGTAAGTAGGTTAGAAGTCAGGTGGCGTGATAGGAAGTGATGTCGTCACTTTAGTGAGTAACTTCCTATGATGACAATAGGAAGAAGACTACTCTCAGGCCCTTCCTCCCTCTCTTCCTTTAGTGGCTTCTCCAGACCGTCCAATGTAGCTCCTACTCGCGTGGTGCTGCTCTCTACCTCCTTCTCTACTCTTCCTCCTCCTCCTCTTCCTCCCTCCACGCAGCTGTCTCCCAGGTACAGGCATGCCTGCGTTTCTCCACTAACCCTCCTACCTTGCTGCTGCCTTTCTCTTCATCTTCCTTCCTCTCGTTTGTCCCGTCTGTCTCGCCACTCCATTTCCTAACAGAGGCCATGTTTACTCCTGGTATTAACATCTTTAACAGGTGGTCAGCTGAGACTGATTGCATGACCATTTTGTTATTTTGAGGGTAAGTTCTCAAAATGTTGTTTTTTAGAGTCAAAAAGTTGTCAACAAATTGTATGGGACTTTTCCATTTAATTTGATCAAACATTTTCAATAGCTAGATGGATGTGGATGGTCTCCACTGTCAGATCAGGATGGATTACTGTTTACATGTACAAGTTAAGCAACCATAATCTTAGGAAAGTGAAAAATAAAATTATATTAATGTATTATTATTGCTAATTCAGTGTAATGAAAATGAATGAGAACTGTCAAACTCAGAAAATTACCATTAAAATTGTCCATCTAACTCTTGTTTTTCTTAATAAAATTATTATTATTATATTTTAGCAACTTACAGTACATTGCATTTAAGTTTTTTTTATTTAATGTACAAATGTTTGTACTTAATTTGCTTACAGTAAAAGTGTAAAGTGACCCTGAGCTTAGGAAAGGTAATACAGTAATTTTAATAATATGAATGCATCATATTATTATTTTTATGCAATTGGCAGATATTTTATCCAAAGCCGCTTGCATTACATTAAAGGTATACATTTTGTCAGTTCATGCATTTCCGGGAAGTCAAACCCATGATCTTGCATTGCTAGCGCCATGCTGTACTTTGAGTATAAAAAAAAAATGGACCTTGTTTACACCTGTATTAATTGCCATCCAACAGATGTGAGGTGTAAACATGGTCAGAGATCTGAAGTCCCAGCTGTCTGTGTGTAGTCTCTCCTACCTGCATGTTTCTTTCTCTGTCCAACGTCTGTCATATTCAGCTTTTTAGAGTAGATTGTGAATGTTCTAATCAGATGCTTGCCAGCACACACACACAAAATTTGAAAGTCTGTTTGGTGTGCGTCCTCTTTCTTCTCAAACAACAGCACACGCGCTAGCAAATAACCTGAAGTCTCCAAAATCTTGTCAGAGTCTCCTTTTGAGGGCTTTTCCACCCCTGCTGTGCGTGTGTGTGTGTGTCTCTATTCTCTAATACCTCCTGTGGTGCATGTCTTTCCCCAATGTCTCCGTGTCACACTAATCCACAACGTAAAATCGCCCAAATGCCATCAGATCCTGCGGCGGCCTGGTTCTTCTCGCACTCACGCTATGACTATGTCAGAGCAGCGGTTCACTAGGAAATCTCTACATTTACACACCGTGGACTACCGGAGATAAAACCTCATGCATACATTTAAACCAATGATTTTAACTGAAAGTGTTGTAGTTTTTCACCTCAAATGAGTCTTAAAGGGATAGTTCACCTCAAAATGAAAATGATCACTTAATTATGACTTCTGTGCAATCCTAGCCATTCTTTTCAGTGTTATGAATGTGAATGAGAACTGTCAAACTCAGAAAATTACATAAAAGCGCCATAAAAGTGGTCCATATGATGCTTGTTTGGTCTTCTGATGCAATATGATTGTATGAGGAACAGATGAACCTTTTAAGTTGCTATTCACCGACAATTTAGCACATTTATTCAAGTTTAAAGTGAAGTAGCAATGATTCAATCGTGAATCAGACATTCAGATCTTTTCATTGAATTGCTTGACAAAAGCTGTCTTAATGATTTATTTTTCTGAATCAGCTTACTGGAGGGGACAATTATTTGTAAATTAAAAGATTTCAATTTGGTCCGTTTCTTACACAAACCTATAATATGACTTCAAAAGACCTAAAATGTGGTTCATGAGTTATACAGACCACTTTTATGGTGTTTTTATGGACTTAATTTTTCAAATGTATCTTTAAAGCATTTAAAATTACTCCATTTGTGAAGAACGTCATGACAGATTGTTCATTATTGGGTGGACTAATTCTTTAAACAAACAATTTTGATTAAAAATAATAAGAACTTTTTCATCTGAAGGGAAATACAAAATTGTTATCTTAAGCAAGTTCACTCAGTTGCATTTTTGTTTAGACTGGCGGTACAGACATGTTCGTAAATAACTTTATTACAAGTTGTCATTTTAAGTGCTGTTTTGTCATTCCTTACAGTCGGTAGCGGCTGTGTGCTGAAATTTTCTTTTCTTTAACGCAAGTTGTTTTATGATCATTTTATGCTTTGTTTTTAATGGCATGTCATTTTTTTGTTGTTGTTTTTTCCCTCGCAGACAGTGTGGCTACAGTAAAGCCAGCCAGGAGGGGGATGAGGAACTCTACTTCCAGTGTGAGTATCACGTTGTGTTTCCGTGCATACATGTGCATTCATTCCACAAATCAACTGGACTGTCAGGTTTATTTCTGAATGTGATAATGGATATAGCTTGTCAGAGACTGAGAGCTGAGGTGGAAGAGAAAGGGAAAAAACAGACTGGAAAATAGAGTGATCAGTGATAAAGAGAGATTAGGGATGTATAAAGTGGCACTGCATTAACGTCTAAGTCCATGTACGTGCCTTTACACCAGCCAGCTTAATGCTCCAGTCCATTAGCATATTTCAGATGCCCTCTGAGATGAAAAGAGGGGGGAGGGTGTTACCAGTCTTTGAACAAAGATGCCATATTGCTGCATCCAGTGTTGAAGAATATTGTTAAAGTAATGCATTGAAATGCATACATGTTAAGTTACAATTGCGCTACGTTTTATTATTGCCAGTTTACTGAGACTCTCTGGTATCAGAACGGAAGCTCTATGGATGGATTGTGATAATTGTTTTACATTGAAAGTTGACAAAGCAGATGTATATTAAGAGTGGTTTCCTGTCTTCTCTTCACTGTCTTTGTTTAAAAAAAAAAAATTGCCAACCCGCCCAAAAACATCAAATTAATTTTTTTATTTTTTTTTTAAACCGCTGCACAGTGCTGGTGATGCCCAGTTACTGTATCTTTCTTTCTCTGCTGTTTTCCCTCAAACCTTCTAAACTCTAGCCAGATGTTAGCATTCTGTTTCACGTGAGTTAATATTCATGTGTGTGTGTGTGTGTGTGTGTGTGTGTGTGTGTGTGTGCGCGCGTGCGTGCATGTGTGTGTGTGATGTGTGAGTAATGAGTGTCTGTGCAGAGCAGTCATGCAGATGGGGTATTAAATCTGCTGAAACAATGAACACTGGCGAGCTTCACACACTTTTGAGCTGGTTTGTCTGTCTCACAGCATATCTGTACAGTATATAAAACTTATATTTGCATGTATTCATTAACCTCTTATACTCTGATCTATAGTATTTAACTTGTAAATATGCACATTATGCCAGGATGGACACTTGTACAGGAGGAAGATTGCCATGAGGATGTATGGAGGAGACACATATTTGTTTAAATCTTTCATGTTTCATGTGATAAATATATATATATATATATTGTAAATAACACTTTTCTCTTTATTGAAGCCAGATTTCGGTTTCTTTTCAGTTGCTTATTAGCATGCATATTACTAGAATATTAGCCATTTATTAGTACTAATTAAGCACATATTAATGCCTTATTCTACATGACCTTATTCTACATCCCTAATCCCCAATACCTAAAATTAACAACTACCTTACTAACTATTAATAAGAAGCAAATTAGGAATTTACTGAGGGAAAAGTCGTAGTTAATAGTGAATAAGTGTTCCCTATTCTAAAGTGTTACCCAGATTTCCAAGCAAAACATGGTGATGTAAGGCTTATTCTTATTCCAGCTACAATTAAGTATTTAGTAAGACTATATATAAACATATAAACGTCATATAGACTAGATTTTATAAATACATTTCATATGGATAGAATAGATTAAACAGTATATGAATAATTAATTGTAAAGAATGCCAAAGAGGGGCAATAATTTGTATATAGTGTATGTATTTGTATATAGAGCTATAACCCAGATAAAATCATGATTATGTGTATTTTCATTCATCTTAACTGTTATTATATACCTGTTTTTATGTAATTAATTTATGTGCTGCTCCTTTAAGGACAGGTATGTTTTTAGTCAATCAGCATTAATTGCTGGTTTTGGCTCCATGATGTCTTAAAAGAGCAGCACAAAAATAAATGAAATGAAACAAGTATATAATTCAAGAATTAGAACAAAAACAATTTATTACAAAAATGTAATGTGCAAATGAATGAAAGCACACTAAAAGGTGTTCTATCTGGGTTACATAACACAATCTTGTGCTTTCTGGAAACTAGGCCAAATGTTCACTGTTCAAGGAAGAATTTAAGGAATCCCTCAGATCCTTCACCTTCCAGCAAAAGAACAACATTTCAAACAAGAACCATTCATTGAAAACAACGAGAGGAGTACAAATAGTATAAAAAGAGTATAAACTCAGATTTTCCTTACAAATTACGACGAGCACAATTCTCTGTCACGCAGTCTCATACTGAATCATTTCCCACATGTTTCACAAATTAAATCCCATCAGCATCATCAGATATTCTCTCGCTCTCGTTTCGCCCTGGGCGCAGTTCTGGTGACCCATCGTGCGTGATCTCTGCATCTCCCACCGTCATTTGTTTTACAGATTTGTTTGTCTATCTGTTATACAACTAGCCCTATAAGCACACTCTCTTTTCACCCTGCATGCGTGTTCTGTTTGTTTTATATGCATATTTTTGGATGACCTAGAAACAATGGTAGGGATCAGTGCTTTAGCTGTCATTATGAAATCACCGAGGCCTACTTTGTTTGTGTGTGTATGTAGAACCAGCAGCTGTGAATTTAATGCTTAAGATATGCAAACTTATATGCATATACATGGTTTGTGGTTGTTAGTGTATGGGGATTTACATAGCTACTGTATACATTTGGGACACAATTGTCCACAGAACTAAATCTGACAAGGCATTTCTTTGGGGAACGTCTTCAGAGGTAAAAAAAGGGTCATTTAAGTGTATAAATAAAATGTGTATGCAAAAACATACTTCTATTTTATTTTTAGTGTATGGGGATTTACATAGCTACTGTATACATTTGGGACACAATTGTCCACAGAACTAAATCTGACAAGGCATTTCTTTGGGGAACGTCTTCAGAGGTAAAAAAAAAGGGTCATTTAAGTGTATAAATAAAATGTGTATGCAAAAACATACTTCTATTTTATTTTTCCCCCCCCATGTAGTATTTCTTTGATTTTGTTCATATTATGTTCATATTACTAATAATGAATGTTGTTCATATTTAGATAACTATGTGAAGTGTTTGTGTGCCTGGCTGTTTGGGGATCTGGGTATTTTTGTTCAAAAACGTCTTTATAGACTTAATTATAGTCTAAGTGACTTAAGTGTAAACTTGTCTATATGTGAAATTGAGTGCATTCTTTCACTTTATGGTTCTTATCCGAGTGCCAGGCTTATTGTAGTTTTGCACATATCATTATTTTTTATTTAATTTTAGTTCAAGTTGGTTTTAACGGTTTAGATTTGTTTGCTATTATTTTAAATTTGGTTTCAGTATATTATATATCTTAAACAACAATACAAATCTTCCTATAATGAGACATATACAGAGGTACTTTTCAAAAACTGCATCATGCATAAATAACGGCATCCTTTTTATAATTTACAACAACTCAGCATACTGCAGTACTTGTGGACAATCAGATGTACTATAATTGTGTAATTTCTTCTACGTCGTTACAGCCTCTACTCTACTGTAAATGCAGTAATTCTGCAGTAATTTATCTACCATCACACTGGTGTTTTCAGGGCATTGTTGGATTCAGCAGCTTGGACTGGACTCACTAAGATCTTGTTTCGGTCTATGAGGACCCTTGTCGTACAACAACTACTTTGTCAAAGTTTGTAGAGTTTGTGACATCGAAATATATTCATGAGTTTTTGAGACCATTTGGATCAACTTAACAGGACTTTCTTTCACACTGCTTTTGCAACATTTCCCAAGGAACACAGCAGCATTATATGATGTAACCACTTTGCACAGTTTTTTTGTTCTTGTTGTGGTGGTGTCATCAAATTCAGATTTAACTGGCAGAATACAGCGTCCGAGTCAGTGTAAAAAAAGTTATACTTTTTGTTTTCACTAATAATTTAGTGCATTGCTATTAGTTTTAATTCATCTGCAAACTCCTGCTTTTAGTTTTAGAGAACACATATATATTATGTAACTATAACCTTGGTGTGGATGTATGAAAGCTTCTTTGGCTGAATCAGATCTTTTGATAAAAACAAACCCAAACAGAAACTAATAGTAAGTAAACTGAACTGGACCCCTAAATCACTGTAATAACAGCCTCACATGTGAATCCGACATGTGCTAAAAAACCTCAGTCCTGTGGAAGAGGCTTTCGATCCTGAGCCGCACTCTCATGATGGAATGGAGCACCTTTAATTTGCTTTGTAATTGTATTCTTAAGTATGGGTGTATGTATGTGAGCTTCAGATCAATAAGCTGTTATGAGACTGTGAAGTTGAGACCCTGGTCTGCTTTGGGTCGATGCTGACTTGTAAGCACATTTCAGAGTTAGACTGCCGCACTGCCTTTGAGTAGATGAAGCATGGCATAATGCAAGGATACAGTAAAAGAATACAGCATCAAAATAATAAAACAGTATTTTTAATTTTTATATCTGGTGATCTTTTTGTGGATTTTCATTTTAAATATAAATTTAAAATTAATAAATCTTCATTAGCAACATGTATAAGTATACTGCACTATAAACACTGTTACTGTATTATATAACTAGATAGTACATGTTCAGTTACATTTTCTCATGCTTGTCCAAAACTCAATGCCATGATGTGTTCTAGCTGGTTGCCAGGAGGTTGCTTTTTGGTTGCTAAGGTGATTACTCACTGGCCTACCCACATTTCCTAAAATAGCAACCTATGTGATATTTGCCGTGTTGTGAGTAGTGAATGAGTTAATGCATTAGCACATTTAGACACAGTATATGCATGAATGCTTAAAATGCCTCTTGTCGTCTATGTTCTTTCATGCATGTTTTGAGATGTTGTGATGGACATGAGCAGAGGCAAAATTTCCACACTGACAGCTACTATCATGTCGTATGAGACAATCAGATCAGATTTCATCACATGCAAAATAACAGTGAAGAGAGTCAAGCTTTGAAAACCAAAATGTATGAACAGAGCATATGATATTCTGATACTTAGAGGTGGCTCAGTGTAAGTCTATTGGAGTTTGTCACCTATTTCATTGATAATAACAGTGAATCAATCAATATTAATACTGAGTGTAGTACCACCAATTATATATATTTTTGTTTTCATTTTTCAGTTAAAATCCCAACCCGAAGGACCTACATTGACCCAGAAACATGTGAAGATCTGCTCCAGACTGTTCATGCCTTTGCCAAAGAGCTGGACATATCTAGTATCAAGATCGAGAGGATAGTCCATACAGGTACCAAACATCAAAACCTCCCTACTTCACTCTGACTTTTACCATTATCCAATTCATATTCCTGCAAATGTATTTTCTTTTTGGGACACTTTTAAGGTTTTTCAGCATTGTGTGTCAAGATCCTATGAAAACCAGTCATTAGTTTATATCAGAAATTAAGGCTTTGTCATCATTTACTGACCCTCATGTTGTGTTCAAATCCATTTCTTCTTTGGAACACAAAGTATGTTTACTAATAATCTTTGTCCATAAAATTCCAATGAATGAGGACAGGGGCTTTCAATTTTTAAAAAGAAGCAAAAGAACCATAATAGTGTCTATGCAAACTAGGCATCACGTTTTCTCAAAAATAAAGGTTCTGTCATCATTTACTGATCCTCATGTTGTGTCCAAACCCCATATGACTCATTATTTTGAAACTAAATTTACAGCTAATGTTATTGTACAAAATGTATCTAATGCTAAAGTAATTTTCTGCAAATTTTTCTATAAAATTGCAATGAATGAGGACGGGAGCTTTCAAGCTTCAAAACAGGAAGCAAAAGTACCATAAAGGTATCATAAAGGTGGTCCATATGTAATTTAAGTCATTATTCACAACATGAGAGCAAGTAAATGGTGTCATAATTTTAATTTTGGGTAACTGTTCCTTTAATTGACGGCCAATGTTTTCATTTATGCTACATTATGAGAAACAAATAAACATCAAGTGAACCCTTGCCTTCTTCAGGAGACTTTGGCGAGGTGTGTCGAGGTTGCCTAAAGCTTCCCAGCAAACGAGAGTTGCCTGTGGCCATAAAGACCCTTCGTGCAGGCTGCTCGGAAAAACAGAGACGCTCATTCCTCAGCGAGGCAGGAATTCTGGGACAGTTTGATCATGCCAACATTGTGCGTCTGGAGGGAGTCATCACCAGAGGTCAGTAGAGACAAAGAGATTGTGCAATGGATAGATGGCAAGGAAGAAAAGAGAGATGTATGGGACGTCCCTCTGTATAAAATGAAAGCTGTGGGGCGATTGGGACGATTCCTCGCAGGACAGGGAAAGACAAAGAACGAGAGGAATTGGGGATTTGATGGCACTCACCTGAAAGAGATTCAGGAGGCAGAATAGATTATATGTCCCTCCACTGAAAAAGAAAAAAGGAGGGATGAGCCGGTTGTCCCACTGCAGTAATGGAAAAGAGAATGATAAGCCATTGATTGGACAGTTTATTGGGAAGTGGACCCTTGAATAAATGGGCCGGTCCTCAAAAGCGCAAGAACAGAAATGGAGGGAAAGGTCGATACTTGCAGGATGGATGATCATCAGCGGTAAAAGATCAAGGACAATGAGGAGCTGTAGATGTTATCACCTCCAGGAAGGACAGAACAAGGAGAATCGAGCTTAAAAAGGGAAAAAAGGAAAGGAAAGGACGTGACGTGACGTGTGGCCAAGTATGGTGACCCATACTTGGAATTTGTGCTCTGCATTTAACCCATCCAAGTGCACACACACACAGCAGTGAGTAGTGAGCAAACACGCACACACACACCCGGAGCAGTGGGCAGCCATATTGCTGCGGCGCCTGGGGAGCAGTTGGGGGTTCGGTGCCTTGCTTAAGGGTCTCACCTTAGTCATGGTATTGAAGGTGGAGAGAGCGCTGGTAATTCACTCCCCACACCTACAATCCCTGCTGGACTTGAGACTCGAATCTGTGACCTTCGGGTTATAAGTCCAACTCTCTATTATCCATTAGGCCATGACTTAAATGAAACTGGTAACTCTGTCAACAAGTGGGACCAAGGGAAACTTGGCTCGGGGTGGAGATGTACGGAGAGAGAAGAACAGATCCATCTTTAGATTGATCGATGTGATGTTCCTGGAGATAAAACAGCTAGATGGATTTGCCTAGCTTGTTCTTGCCGAAAGGAATGAGGGATGATGAAGGTATTGTGAAGACAGGGAAGACCAGAGGGGAAGGCAGATTTGCTGAATTAAAGAACTAGCAGTGCTGATATTAGTCTGGGACTTTGTGTATTAGTGCTGAAGGAATTATTAACGTTTGTGATTTAAGATTGAATCTACATGTAGAAAATGATAGAAATGTGTGCATGAAGAGACGTATTAAGAGTGTTGGATTTTGTGCATGTTGGAGAAGTGGTTCTCAACTCGTTCTGTATTAGTATTACCAAGAACAACATAAATGCAAAAACAGCGGAAGTGTGAATCTGTTGTGAATTTGTTAGAGTGCATAATGACAAAAGACCATTATCTATTAGTTATTCTTCATTCTTTTGCCAGCAATATTATTGCAATTTCTAAAGAAAAAAAAAAACATTCTGTAATTCTGCAACTCTTAAGTCTACTTCTTTCTCCAAAAAGTGGAAATTTAGTTTTCAGTGACAACTTTCCTCTTTTATTATTTTAACATTCTATCTATCATTCTATCTTATTTTCTTTTGCTCTATGATTCTATCTGTCTACAGTGACTTGCTGACTGTATAATCTCTTACATAACACTTGCACTTTTATGAAAATGTGTGTTTGTGCCCTTTGGGCAACCCTACCTTGTCCTCTTTCCCTGCTGAAGGATTAAACAAACACATGATCCAATTATTTCTTTAAAGGTTTTTTTTTTTATTATTATTGCTGCAGGCAACACTATGATGATTGTGGTGGAGAGCATGGCCAACGGAGCCCTGGACTCTTTCCTGCGGGTAAGAGAACGTATTTTGTGTCTGTTTGTTCTGCTGACTATAATATTCATCAGATGCAAAATGCTGAGTACAGTACATGGTATATATAAAATATTTAAGATACATTACAAAACCTGCAGATGTGATTTGTTGATAAAAAGAAAACAATGAGAGGAAGAGCCAAGTGAGGCATTTTATCTAGTCTCAGAGTCAGATGAAGTGACATTCTTGAAAGGAAGTGAAATGATTGTTATTTGTTCCAAGTTCTCATAAATATTTCAGTTTATGTTCTAAATTGTTGTTTTCATCCCATTTTCCTTTCCCTTTTTCCATTGTTCCTTTTTTCTTATTTTGTCCCTCTCCATTGTATGTTCCTTTCCCTACATTATCATTCCTTTTCCCTTTCATTTCCTCTCCATTGTCCTTCCTTTTTTCTTGTTTTTATTCAATTAAATGTTTTTCCTTTTTCAATTTTCAACGTTCCTTTTTCCCCTCTATATCGTATGTTACTTTTCTTACTTTACCACTCTGTTTCCCTTTCTCTTTCCTTTTGCTTTTTTCTCTTGGCAACATTTGTGTCATTCCTTCCTTCCTTTCACTCCCTCTTTTTTCTGCTCAGAAACACGAAGGTCAGTTGACTGTTCTTCAGCTGGTGGATTTGCTGAGTGGAGTGGCGTCTGGGATGAAGTATCTGACAGAGATGGGTTTTATCCATCGCCATCTGGCTGCTCACAAAGTCTTGGTGAACAGCAGCCTGGTCTGCAAAGTGTCAGGCTTCAGACCTCTTCAGGATGACAAAATAGAGGCAGTCTACAGCACACTAGTGAGTATTTTACCATAATGCAACACAGCACTCTCAAACACTTCAGAATGAGTTCGAAGAGCCAATGGTAGTCAGCATTTCTCTAAAAGTCAAAGCATAGCTCGTATCTAGTTTATCAAACTTTTATGTGATTTTTTTTTCTTGCGAGTACTCAGCTGAATATGCGGCATATTTTAAGAACGTCACAGTGCTTCATGCTTCTGTTATGATAAGATGAATGCGGAAGTCAGGATACAGTATGGCACAATAAACCTGTCTTTTCACCTTTTTTGTGTTTGCCAATGATGTGTTCCTGAATCAACATTTAATCAACATTTCTTTTATCCTCTTTCTTTTCCTATCCTTTTTTGCTTGTTTTCCTCTCTGATGTCCTTTCCTATGCAATGTCCTGTCCTTTACTATTTTCCATTCTTTTCTTTATTTTTACGTTGTTGCTTTAGAGAATTCTGCCCACCATGAAATCTGTCAAACTGATTTGTGTCATTTGTGCACCAAAATAAAAGAGGTTAATCCAGGAACAAGTCCTATTAGCAAAATCATGGTCACTATTGTAGCCCACTTGTCTGGGCTGGTAATTGAAAGGTTTTGGGTTCAAACTCTTCAAAGAGCAGTTCATGAAATGAAGCCTTGAGCAAGTCACTTAACCTCAGGTTGCTTAAGTGGAGATAGTCTCTGTAATTAGTGTGCTCTAAAAATAAAACCTTCTTCACAATGACCACTTACTAATTAGTAGAAGAAACTATAAGGACTGAGTACATTTGTGTCAGTTTGTTAGGCATAACAGGGTCTGTCTTTCTTTTAGCACGGAGGGAAGAGTTTGGTGTTGTGGACGGCCCCAGAGGCCATTCAGTACCATCGTTACAGCTCCGCTTCTGATGTATGGAGCTTCGGTATCGTCATGTGGGAAGTCGTGTCCTTCGGGGAGAGACCGTACTGGGACATGGGCAACCAAGATGTACGTCTGTCCCTTTATATTTCTTCTAATGTATCACCACCTGTGCAGTTCTGCATTGCTTTTCCTCTGGTGTTTCTTTCTTAAACCTTTTCTCTCTTTATCTCTTGCTCTCTCTTTTGGGTGGCTGCTTTTCCTCCTCCTTAAGATCTCCCTAAAAATCCTTTTATGTTTGTTTGTGATTTTATATTATTTTTCTCCCTCCCTCTCTCTTTCCTGCCTCTCGCTGTTGGTAGGATGGGATTTTCCTGTGTGAAGTGAGAAGTTATGTATTTGTATAAAAATTGAAAAGTAGCTAAAGCGAGAGCCTTTAAAGACCCCAGATAAAGAGTGTGTGTATGTGTGTGTGCACTTTGACTTCAAGTCCACTTCAGCTCCGTGTCCAATCAGACTCAGAAGTCACATCACGTGTGGCCTCCTTTTCATGCCTGCAGCAAAGATCCTCATAGTCTCTGAAATAAACCCCGGCTGAAGGACATCACACTTTTTGGTCCCCAGTAATAATGTAGTCTCTTAAAATGTAAAGAAACAACAAAATAAAAATTAAACAAATAAATAAGCTTAGCAAAGAAAAAAACAGTCATGGACGCATTTTAAAATACACACTGAAATTAAACCGATTCAGTATTGAATCAGTATTGACTCAAATTTTTAATTGGTCCATGCACAGTCTCTCTTTTATTTTATTTTATTTTATTTTATTTTAATAATATTTCTGTGTGATGATAAGATATGGCTGGAAGGCCAAATCTGCTTTTCTACTGTGTACATGAGACAAAACACATTTAGAACTGTGAAGTCATTATGAATTAAAGAGTCTCACCATGTAAAGCTTTTAAACAAAAGAGGCCGTCTTTCACTACAAATAGTGAAATGCTCAAATGCTAATGATTGCTGGAGAAAGGCATTAATGCATTTAAAGAATCTTTCATGTTATTAATTTGGTTTAAATAATGTTTGTGTTGTCAAGTGACTTTTAAGTAGTATTTTTATTGAATTAAATGGTATTTAGGATTATCTAATAAAAAAAGATCATATAGGGATACCAGTCAAGGACACATTTTGAAATACCTACTGAAATGAATGAAATAATAATATAATTTGCTAATTTATCTCAGAGATGTCATTTATTAGTGGCGATTGATTTGAAAGTACACCGAAAACTATGGCTATGAGATGTGTTTACAATGGGGACCAAAAGTGAGTTCACACTGAAGTGGAAATAAACTGAAGCCTTTAGGGTTGGAACATTTTCAATAAAGAAATGTTATGATGTGAAGAAGAAATGTTTAAGATTCTGCACTATTTATGCGTCACTAATCAATTTATTCCATTATTTATTTATCAATTTATTCCAAATAGTCAGTAATTATGTTTTTGTGTTTAAATTTATGTATATTTACCTTACAGGTAATAAAAGCTATAGAGGATGGGTTCCGGTTACCTGCTCCCGTGAACTGCCCGCCGTCTCTGCACCAGCTCATGCTGGATTGCTGGCAGAAGGAGAGGACAGAGAGACCCACCTTCACCCAGATCCACAGCGCTCTCAGCAAGACCATGAGGAGCCCGGACAACATCGGGTCCTCCACCCTGGGACGCAGGTACTGAAAAGCTTCTCATGGTTCCTATCTCCATGCAAATCATCCCTTTTCCACTTTCCTATAAGTGTTTATGTTTCTCACTCTGAGGACAGAAATATCTTTCTGTGTTTGTCAAGGACTCTGGGCTCATCTGTATCACTAGCAGAACGAACACTTCCTTCCTTCCCTTCGTTTAGTTCAGTTGGTGAGTGGTTAGAGGCTGTAGACATGGGCCGCTACAAAGACAACTTCACTGCTGCTGGATATTGTTACCTGGAGTCAGTGGCTCGCATGACAGTTCAGTGAGTGACATTTGAATTAAGTCCCTATAGTGCGTTTCTCTTATTCGGTTTGTGTGTAACTTGCTCTGTTGTTTTTGCAGGGATGTGTTGAGTCTCGGCATCACCTCTCTGGAGCACCAGAAACAGATCCTGTCTGCCATACAGACTCTCAGAGCGCAGGTTATCCAGATGCACGGCCGCGGAGTGCAAGTCTGACAGACCCACAGCAGTGTGTCGACTCGCTGAGAAAAGACATATGGACGTCTGTTCTCGTAATTACCCAGCAGGCCATTCAGCGGTCAGGAGGTGATAACCAAGTCACTGCAAATGTTAGTTTTCTTCCTAATCTTTGCTCTTTCATTCTTTTAGTGAACACTGGTTCTTTTCTTCCACAAACAAGTTCTTATTTTCTGAGGGGGACAATGTCACAAGAAAGAAAATTCCTCTAGAATAACCTGCGTGCTGATTTTGGCCTGCTTTTGACATGAGCTCTATCCCTTTTAGTAGGACCTTAAGGTGGTCGAGACCCTCCGTCACTGTCCCAGAGAAGGGCGGTTTGACTCTGACCAATCTCAGAGCAATCAAAAGGGTGATATGTATTCCTGTTTTCTTTATCCAAGCAAAACAACTCATGCTTTGTAGCCACTGATCCTCCTTGTTAAGTGGACTAAACCAAGTGCATGTCATCCATGACCATTTGCTCCTCAGACTAGGTGAACATCTTCAGGAAATAAGTTGAGTTCTGATGTAAGGAATCTTAAATAATATGTAAATCCCTTTCTCTGTGTATTCTTAATTTGGTTACTGTCTACTTTTTTTCTTTTTGCTTTCTTTCCTCCACACTTTAAACTCATTTCTGAATTTCCGAGTTTAAATTAGTATTGTCGGACATCTGTACTCATAATGTTCTTTTCTCGTTCTGTCTACTATAGGGACAATGTTTGCACTGCACACTCTTAAAAATAAAGGTGCTTCAAAAGGTTCTTCAAGCGATGCCATAGAAGAACCATTTTTGGTTCCACAAAGAACCATTCAGTCAAAGGTTCTTTAAAGAACCATCTCTTTCTTATCTTTTTATAATCTGAAGAACCTTCTTTCGCCACAAAGAACCTTTTGTCAAACAGAAAGGTTCTTCAGATGTTAAAAGTTCTTTATGGAACCATTTAGACAAAAAGGTTCTTCTATGGCATCGTGAAGCACCTTTATTTTTAAGAGTGCAGTGTCCATGACTTACAGAAGCTTGTACTATATTTATTAGATGATTTATTTATCCATTTACAGATGCTTACTGACGTTTGAATGCAGAAATATTGTTTGAAAATGGAAAACATAGCACTGAATCTGGACGTTCAGCTGTCATTTCATCAAAATGCACTTCGATTTTGTTTATGTAATTTAATTTTTTCCCTGCACTTTGAAAGTGAGTGAGTGAATGTGACAGGGATGTATATACACATATACATTCACACATTTACAGACTTTCATTACACGCTGTAACGGCAGGTGCCTGATACTCTCGGACATGTACTTGATGTTGGCATTTCGTACAGCGGAAGTGGTTGTTCTTTAGCGAGAATGTTCTGAACGTTCTAGTGTTACTGAATTTAGACTATTGTGTGACGTGAGCGTGTGAACAAGACTTGGTTGGACTTGGATGTGTTTAAGCAGTATTGAATGAAAGCCTAATTCAGAACATTTCAAGTTTGATCATAGAAATAGGTCGGTGCAAATCACATTAAAAAAGACCATGACACACAGGTTGGATCTGGATTTTGCCACAAATACATATAGTACAAAACAAATGACTGGGTTTTTTTCTTATGTTAGGTTGTTCTTGATTTTTAGGATATAAACAATTAAAGGGTTTTGGAATTTAACGATAAGAGCATCATTTTCACTCTGTGTTTTACAGTTACACACATACAGAGATGCACATTTATCATTATTGCAGCCATATCATATCTGAACATGGCGCAACCCCAATTAATGATCACTTCCAAATGTAAAGGACAGAGACATGATGTACTGTACTGTTTAACAGCCCTTTACCGAATAAGACTCGATTCCCCCTTTGCATTAAGTGTATCATTCTGATCTCTGTTTGATACTGTAAATATGTATTTGAAAATGCAATCTATTTTTATAATTTGTTTGAATAATAATGTGTTGAATGAGATCCTCTCACTGTGTTGAAATGTCTTACTGTTTCAATTAGGCGAGTCGCGAAAAAAAGTTGTTTGAAATCAAGTCCTTTTTTTTTTTTTCGGTTGGAATTTTTCATGATTTTTACCTGTTAGAAAAACAGATGGCTGTTGCAATATTGAAACATGTTATTAAAAAAATACAATAAAGGTACCCTAGACTTTATTATGTTTGCTCGCGGTCTTCGGGCTTCCAGCGTACCTGCCTGAATTCATACACGCATTGGAGTCTATTTTAATCATGTGTAATCAATGTCGAGGCACGGCAATCAAGCGTTTCCCGTCAGCTTTCAACTCCCGGAAAAACTGCAGGAAGCAAAAAAGGTGTTCTTTGTTCTGTATTTTTATCAAAACGGTTCTTTTTAATAAATTATTTTCTTTCCAGCTAGATAATTTTTGTATGAAAGTGACAGGATGAAATTCTGTATTTATTATCATTTCATGTTGTTATGTCTTTCCCACTGTTAGTTATCTAATCCTGATTATTTTATTAGATATTAAGTCGTCATTCATTCCAAGAGATTTAAAGATGTCTATGAGCTTTAGTGGATCCAAGTGCTCATATCAATAATAATTCGAAGGGTTTCAATTCTCTCCTTTCACATTTCTTAGTACTAAAAAAAGCCCTTGGAGATAATAATGGGGGAGAACTGAAAATACACCAGGTAATACTTCAACTCCCAGCAGTGAGAAAGCAAGGCACAAATGTGTGTGTGTGTGTGTGTGTGTGTGTGTGTGTGTGTGTGTGTGTGTGTGAGGGAGTGTATACATGCTTTTGTGTTCAGATTAAAAGACTCTTCTGTAAGAAGCAAGAAGGGTCCACCACTAAGCCGGTGTGAAGGGGAAAGTATCCAAATACAAAAGTTTGATCCAAGCAGTTAGAGTGTCAGGCCTCAAATCGGATTTGGGAAATTAATCCGGATCGGAAGCAAGTGTGAACAAACAAAGTGTAGTGGGGCTTGAACCAGCCTCTCTCCGGGAGTAGGTCTATGTCGTCTCTCGAGGTCCAAATACCGCTCTATAAACTGAGTTCAGTTCATTCACTGAGGGTAGAGACGTCAAAGCTGTGTGAGTGTATTTAAGTGACAAACAGCCAGTTCTGTTCTGAGGAGGGCCACATCAAAGGAGCAGATGTACAGTGTGTTCTGGAATTCCTGCTGGGCTTTTAGTGGCTTTAAAGTGAACCGTGATTAAATGCTCTAGGAGGTTAAAACTCAATTATTATTATGCATTAATCTTGATTGACATGCTTGATTGAAGTAAATAGAAATGTTCTTGTGTGTATTTATATAACCTATACACGTACAAATTATATATACTGTATATATATATTTTAGTGGCTTTCTTACATCAATACGCCCGTAGATGTAGGCTATGTTGCTGTCTTCATGAGTGAGTCATCAAATCGATTCGATTATTAGCAGTGGTAACACTTTACAATAAGGTTCATTAGTTAACTACATTAGTTAACATGAACTAATAATGAACTGCACTTATACAGCGTTTATTAATCTTTGTTAATGTTAATTTCAACATTTACTAATACATTATTAAAATCTTGTTAACATTAGTTAATGCACTGTGAACTAACATGAACTAACAATGAACATCTGTATTTTTATTAACTAACGTTAGTGAAGATTAGTAAATACAGTAACAAATGTATTGCTCATGTTTAGTTCATGTTAGTTTATACATTAACTACTGTTTAACTAATGAACCTTATTGTAAAGTGTTACCCTAGCAATTCATTCAAAACACTGATTCAAGAACAACATTTCTGAATTAGCCTATAGAATATAGCTTACCATTATTTCCACTTAGTGTGAAAAATAGTAAAAGTAGGGGTGCTTCCCAGTAAAATATTGTTCATAAATCTTTATGATGTCAATACAGATGTTCTTTTTAATGAGCTGTTTTGAATCAGAAGTAGTGATGCCAGATTCGCGAAAGCATTACTCTTGATCTAATCGGTCAAATGGGTTTGCAAAAATGTTTAAAAAAATTATGACCGTTCGCTCACCCACTGGATCGTTTGCAGCGGTTTCTCACCGAAATACATGATATTTTATAAGACAGAAAACAAAACTTGCGTGTCTCATAGTTTGTCAACGATGAAGCAGCTCTGCGTGTACGTGTAGCATGTGAACGACTCCGTACTGCAGGTAAAGATCCAAAACAGGTTTAAAAATGATTATTTATAAATATATATATATATATTTATATATATTTGTTTTGTTTTTTTACTAGTTAAAATTTGGGCACACACTGCTGGTGGCCAGTGCACTCACTACTGATGAAACGCTAGATGCAGTTCTGAATTCAGCCAATATAATTGTTTCCCCATTTGAGTTTCTAAATTGATATTGTTAAAAAAAAGTTCTGAATTCAGCCACTTTCTTCATGAAATGAGTATTTGAGTCATCCGATTCGTTTGGAAGTAGACAAAAGGTAACTTCAATATTGGTATTCTAAAATGTGAGGGGGGGGTTTATATATTAGCATTACTTGTTTATTGAACAGTTTAAAAGTTATAAAAGCAGCTAAACACTCGGACTGCCGCTGTTATGCACACCTGTACAGTAGAAAAGAGCAGCAGAGTCTTCGGGCAAATCTCGACTCTTCAGTTTCGAATAATTAGGCGCTCACCTGATACTCTTGTTTCAATCATCACGTCTGGGGTCCGCAGTTCAAGTTCTCTGCTCCACTGAGGCCCGTCACGCTTCATCTGATTAATTCTCAGGTTTTGGCCATGCCCAGATTAATCTTTCTGTAACCACAGTTCAAGACAAGTAGCTCCCGCTTTTGATTTTCCATTTCTTTTCACGTCTCCTTTCAGCTCCCCAACAACCCTTAAATGTAAGTCACACTTTACACTACGGTATCCAGAGTAGTTACAAAAGCACTGCGCACTATGTAGCCTATAGCACGCACGTAGTATGTAATTATGTTATGGAACAGTCTAGAATTACAAACTGTTATCGCTATTGTAATTATGTTAAAGGGGTCATATGATGCGATTTAAATTTTTCCTTTCTGTTTGGAGTGTTACAAGCTCTTGGTTTATAAAGAAGATCTGTAAAGTTGCAGACTAAAGTCTCAAATCCAAAGAGATATTCTTTATAAAAGTTAAGAGTCAACCACGCCTACCTAAAACAGCTCGTTCTAACATGCCCCCACATATCTACGTCACGATGTGGGAAGATTTGCATAAAGCCGCCAAAATGTTCACGCAAAGAAAAAAGGCGTACATTTTTTTTCTCGCTGTATTGTTGCTGCCGCCATGTCATGAAGATGCTGTGTGTTTCGTTGTGAAAGCGAATCTATAGTTTACTTTGTTTGGCCTTCCAAAAGAGGACGATATCCGCTTCGTCATGCCTAGAGCTGATCCATGCTGGTCGCTGAGGAAATACATAAACTTCGCGCTGTCCATCGCCGGATCGGCTTTCACCGTGGACGAAGCAGAGTCCAGCCCGGGGTCGCTGCTGCCGCCATGTCGTGAAGGCGCTGTGTTTCGTTGTGAAAGTGAAACTACTTTGTTTGGCTTTCCAAAAGAGGACGATATCCGCTTCGTCATGCCTAGAGCTGATCCATGCTGGTCGCTGAGGAAATACATAAACTTCGCGCTATGTCCATCGCCGGATCGGCTTTCACCGTGGACGAAGCAGAGTCCAGCCCGGGGTCGCCACATGTGGTTGCCGCAAGCCCGCCGGCCGTGCCGTTCTCAATCCCGCCGGCCGTTCCTCACTCAAGTCCGCCCGCCGCCGCTGCTCACTCTAGCCCACCGTGTG